TAATAATAATAATAGTGATAATGATGATAGTAATAATAATAATAATGAAAGAAAGAGTGTATTGAAATATATTACTGACTTATCAAATATAAAGAGACTTAAAGAAAATATTAACAGCTTTCAGAGATATACAACAACAGCTACAGTGTTATATAGTAATATTATCTTCATTTAATATATACACTATTAATATTCTTTATATACAGTTATTATATAATCTATATCATTGTAAGAGGTCTACACTGAATAGATCAGTATAATATTGATAGGTCTTATATAACAAAGAGAAAAACATTAGAGAAGAAAAGAAAGAGAAAGTGTAGAAATCAGTGATTGAAGTGAATATTTATACATGTATGTGATGATGTACACAGTGAAGCTTCAGAGCGGAAGAATCTATACATGTTCATAGCAGCTGAGGATTGATGATCAAGAATGGCTGAGAATCAGAGTGTATATATTTAAGAGTGAAGTGAAAGAATCTATGAAGTGCAGTGAAAGAATCTATGAAGTGTAATAAAATAGTCTATATAATTGATCAGATGCAGCCTGTCACATTAGCCCCTCTCTTTCAGAAGCAGTTCTCATCAGTCAAGAACTGCTGTTTTGAATAATGTGAAACTCAGAGTTCAGATCAGTTGATTGTAGCTGACTCATTTCATAAGATATTATCAGCTGCAGCTGCAGAGTCTCTTATCAAGAATATTCTCAATCTCTCACTCGAGCTCATTATCTTCTCCTATGATGCCTAGTGACTATCAGTTAAAAGTCAGTTGAGAAGGGAATGAATTGATGATAGTGCAGTGAAGCAAGCTTGTGTGAAATACATCATGAATCTCTGATAATATGTTAAAACAGTAGTTGTGACTATCTAGAACTTCTATCACTTTATACCTGACATAGCAGTAATCTAGTATACAAGATGAACATGTGATTCATATATTCTTAAGATTCAATCATATCAGATCTTCTATCTTATATTGTTCAGTGAGATCTCAGTGAATATTGATTTGATTCTCTTAATCTTATTTCACAGTTGCTATAAAGGCCTCTGCTCAATCATAGATATCTCAGAGCTTCATTACTATATTATCAGCAATCTGAATCAGACTGTGAGAGTCTGATGTGAACTGTGTAATCTCTAGAAGATTCAACACCTTTATATAATAACTGTGTGTAAGAAAGAACAGGCTTACACCTGTTAAAACAGCATCTCATTCATTGATAGTGACCTCTGCATGTAGAAGCAGGTCATATCAATCATCTTATAAGTGATTGCAGAACTTACAGAGATAGTTCTTTATAGTCTGAATTATTCATTCTGATATATTATCAGTCTCAGAGTGATAGATAGTTAACAGATAATATATAATCTTAAGAACTTGACAGATTCTTGTTCAGAGAGTACTCATAAATTGATGACTCTGATCTAATACTATTGATCTCAGTAATTCATGCATCTGATAGAATGAAGTCTGTAAGAAGACTTCAGTGACTTGTTCAGCATTTATCTTATTTCAAGATTTCAATATTACATCTTTACTTAGTCAGTCAACAATAATCAGAATGTTTCTACAATTCTTACTCTTAGATAGATTAACAGTGAAGTCAATTACTACATCTCATCAGATTGTATCAGAAATATTAAGTGATTTCAGTAGATCTTTTCTATAGTTCTTTCATAAAATAATAGAAGAACAGTGATTGCAGTTTCAGATAAAGTATCTGATGCTGTTTAATATCTCAGATCAATAGAACTCTTAGAAGATCATTCTATACAGTTATTCACATTCTGAATAATCAGTTATATATGAATCATGGATCTCTTGCATTATTCAGATGTATACAGATTTGAAGTGAGAGACTCAGAATTATTCATGAAATTATAGAGTATTAGTATCATCAATTAAACATTCTGAGATGTCAGTTCTTACATGTAATTCTGAAGGAAATCAGAATACTTCTTATTATACTGCTTCAGTGAGTGCTTGAAGAAGTTCATTGATTTGAGCTGCTGTATGTCATAGCTCATCTAATATAGATTCAGAAGAAGTTGAGATATCAGTAACAGTTCTAGTCAGAGAAGTATGTATAGTGCTGTGAGCTGTTTCATTCTGATCAACTAGTATCTTCAGATTCAAGAGCTGATGCTCTCAGTTCATTCAGTAAGTATCTGTTACATCAGATGATATATCTTGCTCTTATCATGAGAGAGCATCTGTCATTGAGTTCTGACTGTCAGAATGATAGTGTATTGTAAAATGAAAGCAGCTTAAGAACTCAGATCATCACATCTGTCATTCAGTGAGTTTATAGATAGTTGTGAAGTATTTGAGATTCTTATAATCTATGACTATCTCAAATTTGAAGATACTTCAGAGTTCAGAGTCTCATTCTTCTAAACAGTGTATAATTGTGAGAAGTTTCTTATCATAGATCTCATAATTGTATTCAGTGAGACTCAGTTTCTTAGACATGAAGACATATAATCATAGAACATCTTTATCATCATATTATAATATTACTTTCTTCTGTTATATAGTCAGAGAAA